ACATGTACCATATTGCCAACATTTAAAAAATATTTTCACTTAATTTCAGTTGCATTCTACCCTTTCTTTTCTCAATAGGACTAAAAGCACTCACTTTCTCTTCAAGGTTGCCTTTTGATTTCTTGATTAACATTCAACACAACGTAGCTACATACTATTTATTGTGTCATTGAACTTCCTGTCATCACTATGAATGTAGTGATGACAGAAAGTCTGAGGGTACTTAGAAGCTCCAGAGAGGAAGGAGTCACCGTACTTCAGCAGGCGGATTACAAGCACCCTTATGTGACCCTTACTTCCAAACTTTTGCGGCACACAGCACAACAACCCTGGAGTTTCTGATCAAAGCCTTTGACGTTTTGTATCCTTTAAACATGTCCCCAGTTAATGAATCAACATCATGTTCTATGTAGCCTTCCCTGACATCGAGCTTTTCTTTCCACTTGACAGCTCTGTTCACACAAACTCCTGACATAGTCGAGAGATAATTCCAGGACATTCAGGACCTGAAACTGCCTCTCCAAAGGCACCTCAAAGCAGTAGATTGTTGATGTCACCAGCTCTCACACAACTCAAAATATTCCATTTGGTTAAGGTGAGGGGGAGCGTCTGGGTAGTGCCTGCTGACAGAGGAGGAAGAGTCTTTTGGAATGGTGACTGTTTCTTTGGTAAAATCACTAAATCATGTTAAAAGGACATTTCCACATGACAAACTCAATATAATGAGGTGCTTTTTATTTAGAGATAGACACTGTGGCTAGAGTCAGATATCGGGGACAGAGAGAGTGGGGAACGACATGCGGGAGAGGATCGAGCCACAAGTCGGAATCGGGCCGCCCGCTTAGAGGATTATATACTCTGTACATGGGGCTCGTGCACTAACCAGCTACTGGTGCCCCCAGATTTTAATTTACGTTTCTTTTTTTAGGAATGCAGTGCATGCATGAAAGGGTTTCATCTCAGTCATATATCATGCATTGCTAAAATACTTTGTATAGTAAAACAATGTGTTTTCTTCAGTAATGTGCGCAGGTTAAATTCAGCCATATTAGCATTTTGTTCTATATTGTTGGTGCATTTTTTTTGTAGATTTGCATTGATTTCTCTCTGTCCTCATTTCCCCTGCTGCTCTGGAATCATTACAGGAAAATTGGCCAACAAAATGAATAACATTTCAAGTGTTCTCAGTTAACTCTTCTTCTAGCATTCAACTTCTCTGAGTGACACAAATCTTTGCGTCAGACAGCTGTCAGAGTGATATTTATTCTCTGTATCAAAGAGTCTCACTCGTTCTGCACAGACCTGTTAGTCTGCTGAAGCCTTCTGTTGATACTGCTCTGCTGCTGTTTGCGTGCCTGAGGGGATTTCTCTTGCACCTGCAGGCTGTGTTACAGTCCCCATGGGTGGGGGGGTTTGTACTGATAAGTCCCTGTGCTCCCACCTGCTGCTCAGTATGTTTTACAGGGAGAGACAAGGCAGACAACATGGGTACATAGACACACAGTATTAACTGTTTGTGTTAGACACGTGGCATCAAGAAAAATGCAGAATTCTGTTTTTTTTTTTTTTTTTAACTAGAGTAAACATAAATTTATTAATGTAATTCCAATGCTAATCATGTTCAGTTGGTCAAATTTCGTTTGAAGCGTAGACTGCATATGAACTTGGAGGAAACAACAGCTGGAACCAAAAATATTTAGAGCTCGCCCTGCTGACTGGCTGCAGTAAAGGTCATAAACCCCGCCCCCTTAATGTTAACAGATGGGACACGGGTCAAACTATAAAGTTAAATTACATCTTAAAGGAACAACGTGCAACAGTTTACACATAAATATATCATGAATCAAGTCTATCCATGTGTAAATGTCTCTCTGAGTCATGACTGTGTACAATGAGTGAGAAGCTCGAGTCCCGTCAGCTGTATTGTTGTCGGAGCCGTGTTTACATGGACGGGACGGCCTTGTGTATAAAGCTAGAGAAAAGAAGAATAACATACTCACTGTTCTGTGTTCTGCTTTCGACTTTGGACATTGGAGAAGTAACACCCATTAATGTCGAAGCGCAGAAAGAGGACACAGTGAGGGCGACAGCAGCACTGTGATACAGCAAGTTGAGAAATACATGACCTTTTTAAATGATGTTGTTTGTCCTAAAAAAAAATGTGTTAGGAGTAAGCAACCCTACAAAAGCAAAAAAGTCAAATTTATTTTCAATCCGGATTTTTGGTAACATATTATCTTAGAGATATGTCAGACAATCAGAGGGAGCAAAGAGAAGAGCTGCTTCTCTGACACAATGAAAGGAGCATGTTGAGGTGTTCTGATAAGGACGCCTCCTGGGAGCCTCCCTTTGGAGGTTTACAGGGCACATCCAACTGGGAAGTGACCCTTGAGTAGACCCGGAGCTTGTTGGAGGGAAAACTGTGGAGAGGGATGTCAGGGTCGACTTGCACAGCCTGATGCCATCACATACTCTACCGTCACAGCACTCTATGTAGCCCACTGAGAATGCAGCAGTAAAGCAAAAAAAAAAAAAAAAAAAAAAGGCTTTGAGAGTGAGATTAAATGATGCATCAGATTCATCTACACAGATGGATAAGTGCAAGCCATATGTTTTTAGCAAGAGAACACTCTCCTAGTGTATTCTGTCTTCGGGAATTAATTATGTTCAATTGTATGTTAATTCTCTGAATCAAAGTGTAATCCTCGATACGATCCTCAATAAGCCCACGTGAGGTTATCACTGCAATGATCACATGTTGTTGTCCTCATGTCATAATCAGAGGTGTGTCCAGACTTTTTTTTGATTGAGGGGGGCCTAAATAAGGCCATTGTCCACCAAGGGGTTTTTTCTGATGCGCCAGAGTCTTTTTTTAAAAAATTGTTTTCAATGAGTAGAGAGCGTTTGCAGCAGAAAGCAGGCACCTGGAGAAAAAAGGGCAGCGCCCAGCTTCTTTTTTTTTTCGAGCTGCACTGCCTTTTCTGTGAGGCCGCTCTGAGTGCTCAAGTAGAACATGGTCTATCGTCTTTGCTCTGTGTATGATCTGGAAAATAAACGATCTAAAATACAAAAACATAAAAAGAAACAGAGCAGTGTCGGTCATACAGCGGATTTTTCGCAACAGATTGTTATTATAGAGACAGAAGGGGACGTGCAGCGCTTTTCTTCTTAGTGCACAAATGCTTCATGGGAGCGCTCCCGATCACAAAGCCAGTGCTTTTCTATGAGGAAAAAAACGCCAGGCTGCCTGATTCAAGGACTACAGCCTCTGCACATGGGGCGCCCAAACCAACCACTCTGTCACCTGCTACCCCTAAGAACCATTCTTCAGGACTCAAAAATGTGCCTGTATCAAAGCCACAATCTACAGTTTAAAGCCTCTGTAGACCCACTGAGGTGTTTCAAATGATTCCAGCTGATTAGACCAGGACAGACGGCGCTATGATGAGGATTTATGATGTAATAAATTCAAAGCACCAATAAGTATGATAACAGGTCAACAAGCCACCCTTGCTGTTATGGCTGTCTGTTTAACAAACTTGTCCACGCCCACATATTCCTGAGAAGAGGTCTAATCATGCTCTCAATCACTATCACCTGTTTAGGTATACAGAGGCTCTAAACAAAGAAAATGTGCTGAGCAAATAAAGCTACCTGCAGCCTGTTTGAACTGAGCCCTAATAGTTGATTTATCACAAGTCCTGACCAGGCAGTTAATAATATTTTAGGATTGGCTGGCCAATCAGATTTCAAAGTGGGCAGAGGCCAGCCCTGGCCACCCTTTGGGACGTATGGTGCATTCATGTGGTGTCGGACACATCAGAAAAACAAGTTTCCGAGATGTAAAATGCACATAAACACCTGCTCAGGTCGGAAACTCGGAAAAGAATGAGGTGCCCGACTTCCCGACTTGATGTCAAAATCGTCATCAAATGGGGGGCAAAATATGTTTTTTTAATGTTAAAAAAGTAACAATTTTTTTTATTAATTCACATATATTGCCATCTTAGTGAAGATTAATTAAGCTCATTAATAACATAGAATCCATCTGAGTATTAGAAATGTGAAAACACCTAGTCGACTTATTTATTCTAGCCCTTATTTATAAGACAGTGCTGATGCTTATTAATAAAAATGTCCCAGCTGGATCACTGTTTTGCCCCTTCATGAACTTTTCAGACATTGTTTCTACTGGAAGTATAGCAACAAACACAGCAGCAAAATGACTCAATAAATCACAAGAATGCAGAGAAGTGTCTCTGAAATGATCTCCTTCTCTGGGGCTAGTTCTCCAAATAGCCGTCCTCTTATGGCGGTGGGATTCAGCCTCACAGGACGGTTGGTGAAATAAAATTAAACAACACTGTCTTCGTTTTTGATAATTAATAGATTTACTTTCAACGGTGAAGCTGATGTGCTTCCTCGCTTGTTAAAAAAGACCCTGTGGTGTTTTTGACTATTTTGTAGAAGCAAATGCTGCCGCTCCGCTCATTACCCGGACATAGAGGTATGATAACTTCAGCCATGTGCTGGCCTTGTTGGCTCCAAATTGATGTTAAAATCGAATTTTATTCCCATGGTCACAGTTGGTGAGATACAAAATTGTGTGCACAGGCCTGAAACATTGGCTCATAGATATGATTGGGGGGCGGCAGTACCTTAGTGAGTAGGGACTTGGGTTGGGAACCGGAGGGTTGCCAGTTCAAGTGCCAATGCGGACCATAATATGGAAGTTAGTCTGGTAGCTGGAGAGGTGCCAGGGCACTTCCCAAGTACTGCCAGGGTGCCCTTGAGCAAGGAACCAAACCCCCAACAGCTCCCTGCGTATACCCACTCTGACATCTCTCCACAGGTCCTGTTTGTGCGTGTGTGAGAAGCATGACTCTCAATAACAGAGTGTAAAACCAGAATTTCCCTCAGGGATTAATAGACTATATATATATATATATATATATATATATAAATAAAACAGTTCAAATAAAGCAATCAGACACTATTCCTGTAGTGAAACTTGGTTTCTTTATTCACACCATTTTCTACTCCAGCTATGTTAGAAGTTAACATAAGTGTCAATCCTCTAGTTCCTATGTTGATCTCATTCATCTGTACACACTATATAAAAAAAGTCAAGATTATAATATGTTTAGAAATCCAAGAGGGTCGCGAGGTGAGGAGGGTTCAACACTTGTCGAGGGGTTTTCCCTTTACAGTCCCTCCCCTCACTTCCAGCCTCCTCCGACCTCCACTGTGACTCCTTTTTTTTTGTTTTTTTTTCTTCTTTTTTTTTTTTCTCATTAAAACAAAAGAAACATATTGAACAAGGCATTTGTACCAGAGCTCAGAAGGGGGCTTGGACATTTGTAAAGCGCTTTGACTGTACAGCTCACGCAGAACACAACCAACAGGTCATATACAGAGCATGGTAGAAGAGGAATAGTATACTGCTTGGGCACAACACAAACACAATACAATGCCATCTGACAAAAAAAAAAGTACCATTGAAAAGTAAACAAAATTATTCTCTTCAACTTTTTTAAGCATTTCATAGAAACAAAAGAGAAAGATAAATTGCAAACTTGGAGTAAACAAATCAAGAATATATATACAGTGAGGTAAAACACATTGGTCTTTAAAAGGAGGTATTTTCTTTTCGATTAAGTGACCTTTTTAATATGTTAATTATGCTGTTTTTTTTTTTTTTTTTTAAAGATACTTCTCAGCTTTTGGATGACATCTATAAAGCAGGTAATGCAGACACCAATGCAGACACACAATCACATGCAGTCCTGTCATTCGAGGTGAAAAGTAAAAGAAGTCTTGTCAAACTTAGGCACCAAATAAAACGTGATAAAGCTTTCTGCTACCCTTTGTCGCCACAAAGGCCTCACTGCAGCATCGGAGAGGAGAAAGTGTTTTAACTGCCTGAACCCTTAAGTGACCCCAAACAAGCCCTACCAAAACCCGAACACTCGACTACTTCAAACGCTTCAGCGGAGGCAGACAGTCTTGCGAGCCTCTGAGAAGAAGGAGGAGGGCAGCCGGTATGGGAGAACGTGCTAATTCTTCGACCCAAACGCGCTCCTCGTCACAGTGAGTGGATCATGCTAGCATAGGTAGGTCATTCAACCTGTGTGATCCAGAGGGACTGAGTGGGCAGACACGGTTGGCCCAGACTTTGCATAACAAGAGAAAGAGACAAAGATAGAGAGAGACCCGTGCGGTGGATAAATTGCATGTTCAAAAAAGCTGCTGCCATGACCTTTGGGCTGAGTTAAACGCGGGTTGTGCTCAGATTGGTTGAAGTCTCTGAGAGGGCCGATACATTCACAGCTGTGGGATTAACTCAGTGCGTGGTTTGAAGCGGTAAAGCTGCTGGCATAGTTTATTTCGCCTCCCTGTTTTTTTTTTGTTGCCCTCCATCAATGCACACAGAGCAGAAACAAACTGCTGGATTTTTCTTCTTCTCAGGGTATTAAGAGTAGCACTAAAGGGCTGCATATTAACTGAGAGCATCTTAATTCTTGGGTCACAAAACGGCTCAAGACACATTGCTGCTCCCATACACAAACTTCAACTATGTTGACCAGTGAACCAAGGTGAGAAATGTCATGATGGCTGTACATCAACCGGGTACAATGACCTCCCCCCTATTTTTTTTATTTTATCTGAGCTTAGGACAGAGAAGGCTAGGTAGGATTCTTAAAGATGAGGTACAGCAGGTTTTCTTTGACATTTTTTTTTGAATGGGTCATGGCCCAATTAGCTGTCAAGAAATCTCATCGGAACAAATGGTTGCTAAACCCAAAGTTTAGAAAAAAATTAAGGAAAAACATTTTTAAAAAACAAGCCTGGTATTTCCAGTCCACAGAAAGGATTGGCTCGACAGTTGGGCCTGCTTCATCACCACAGGCCGTTACATGTTTGAAACTAGTTTGTAAAAGAAGCAGTCACTAAGTGTCTGAAGGCAAACCCTGCTCAATACTGCCCCAATCAGAGGCCGGTTGAAAGCCAGCCTTCGGAGACTGTGACAAGAGGTGACAGCCGGTTAAAATATGAAGATGATAAAGCACATTTTCAGACAGATTCTCCACAAACACAATAACGAGGTTAAGTGTCATTGTTGTTTTTTCGGGTTTAGGCGATGAACCATTATTTCAGATGCGGAGGTTTTGTCAAAAGGTAATAAAGTATAATCGTCTGTGTCCAACTAGTGTGTTTTAAACTGGCAGTGCCTGTTTTCTATACAAAAACTATCAATTTGAAGATTTAAGCATTGAAAACTTGCTCTTTTGCTACACTCAATGAAATCACTTCTCCCTCCCTGAACAATACAAATCAAAAGGGGTGGGACTTCTCCATTGAAATAGGTATCATTCAGTACACTTTACACAGTTTAACACATGCAGCCAGACTGCTCCCCCCCTTCCCACACACTTTAGATGATCGAGCACCCCCAAAAATATTCAGGTCTAGAGTCGCTGCTGATACTGCCAGGACATGACTCAACTGGTTTCAACATTTTCTTTGTTAAATTTCCTTGAATAAAAAAATAATAATCAGCATATAGGGCAATTCAAAACAGACTTATTGGCCACCAAAGGATTTGGCAGGTCAGCTGTCGTAAACCTAGCAACAGGGGAATTAAGTTTGTGGGCACTGCCAGCCCAAAAAGCACCATCGGTGGACACAGTCCCTGAACCTATCTCTCGACGACTCTGTCATTATCATCCAGAAAAAAAGACAATCTGTTCTTTTCAACATTGGGAATTCTTTTTGGGAGAGACTGTCTGAAGGTGTGGGCAGTTCTCCCCATATTTACATTACGGTACAAAAAAAAAAAAAAGATGGCTAGGATAGAGGAGAGTTGGTTCAACGTGGTAAGGAGCTCTGCAGCCAAAGAACTGGCTGCAGTGAAATGTGGCCCTTGAAGCTTGGAGATATCTGTTAGGTCAATTGGAGAACACGGAATGACAAGAGAGAAAGGCAAGAATCAAAGACAGAACGATTGCTGTATAAAGAGTACAAGAGATCAAACAGCTGGGTGCAAACATGTCTTTTTACAGTTAAGTCATCTTGGGTTTCAAAAGAAAAAGAGAAAAAAAGTACAAGGCTGCTGGTGACTTTAAGACAGAATGAAAGTTGTCCTTGTTGAGGCATACCAGAGGTGCTGTTGAGTTGAGCTTTTGTTGTTGTTAATGTCCCAGAGAATGACGTTGAATATGGAATACACATACTGTACAGTCTCAATCCAACAGAGGCCCAGCACGGCAAGCCAGGGATTATTTAAAGTTACACTCTAAATCGTAGTATTTAGTTTCCCACACCGTCATTGAACCCCATCTCCCCCCCCTGCCCTGACCAACATAGCTTCGAGAGATGGTTCCTTGGACCTGGTTTTCCCTGGCGAGCCTCATATTCCCTACTACTTTGACCGCCTTTGTACACATTAAACAATTAGTTTAGCATCCTATCACCCTTTTTAAATCTAATATAGCAGCACTTTCCACTTCACTTTCTTCACTTGACAAGATATTTACAAGGCATACATCCTGCCACTGCTGTCTTTACACCTTTAAGAATACTTTCCTCACAAGAACAACTCGGAACAGTGGACACATCACTACTCGTCTGCTTTTTGATTAACTGTCTTTTTTTTTTTTTAAATCAAAGCCAATTTTCTTTAAGGACAAGAGAATCACTGAAAAAGCCTTTGACAACTGGTTATGTCATTTTCAGGGGAAAACATCATCAATGTTTCGTACAGGTCAAACAGGTTATTGCTGGTGATATGTTCTTTCACTTCGCAGGTTAACGATGCCAATTTTTGTTTGGTTCAGAAATCTAACAGCATGTTTAAATCAAGGAAGAAATAAGCTTATCCAAACTCTTGAATGAAAGATAAAAATGTCTTCGGAAATGAAAACCAGCAAGAGATGTGCCTAAGCCTTCTCTGGAGAGCAATTGTTATCATACTGCTTCAGTTATCCGGAAATTCACCTCTAAAATCATTTAATAGCATTTTTAAGGAGTTCAGAATAAATTTTTGTACAAATTATTACATTATCCATCTGTCATCACATAATCAGTTGCTTGAAAAGGCATCAACAGGGATTTATTTTTTCCAAGAGCACCCAAGCACTTTTTACCAAAGTCACAACCTCTTAAGTTATTAGCTCTCCTGCCTCCGCCTCTACACTTGACCTTCCAGTAGAAAATATGTCTAAAGGCTTTTTCAACTGCGTTTTATGTGTGGGTAATTAAGTGGAATTAAGAAGTGGCTACTCCAGTGCCCATTGATAAGATTGGCACCCTGGTTTTCAGCCGCGGTCCATGGATGGGCTGCAGCTTTCCATGCTGCTTGAAAAGCAGCTGAATGAACTGACTCGCTCTTTGAACCAGAGATAAAGAGTCGGTCAGTGAAACAGGCTGCTGCAGCGGTTGTCAAAGTGGATTCCCGCACTTTCATGGATGCTGGCTGACAACTAATCATCAAACTTCACAAAGTCTTTAAGAGGACTGCCAACCATATGTATGATGATGGGCTGGATTTGCGTCAAAGCTTCATGGCACACTGATCAGATTCAGGCAATCTGAAGATATTTTACATCCAACGGCAGCTCTCACCTCCACTTTCAAAAGCGAGGTGGACAACTAAGTAGCAGCACATCAATACATTATGTATCCATAAAGAAAAAAGTAATGAAGACAGGCGGAGTCACCAACGTCCAAACTGCCACACAGGTAAACCCCCCAGTGGTTCAGAAGTGCACTTAACGCTGAACAATCAAGAGACTCTGCAGGATTTCTCTGAGCAGATCTAATACACTGAATTCATTTAAACCTTGCACCTATCAACTGTTCCTAATTATAGATTTGTTACAGACCTGTATACTTAAAGACAGGTGCTTTTGAAGCAACTCAGACTCAAGCAAATCTGTAGAATACACCAACTGGGTTTAGATGAATGGCAATTTTGGCAACAGGACAAACACTGAAACAAACTGTTAAATCAGGTGCTACATATATTTTTTGTCCTTAAGATAATAATGATACTACCTTTACCATAGTAATCAATGATATATATATATGTATATATATATATAAACTTTTTTCATGAAAACAAAGAGAAAGAAAAAATAATAAGAGCAGATCATGACTCTTATGTGTTGGTCCCTTAAGGCTTGCTAAGCTGAAATGACACAATTGTCAATTTAATGCATTTTTTTCTTCTTTTGTTTTTCTTAAATGTACATTCTGGTAGAAAAAGACCTTGCCACAAAAAAGAAACAAAGAGAAACAATACACAACCTGGAAAACCTATGGCTTAGTAAGTATTTGTTTGCTATATTTTAACGAATGTACCTCAATTTTGTTGATTATCCTACAAAGAAAAAAAACGCTTGAAAGGTTGATCCGCGCTGCTGCCGCGCTGACAGCGCAAAAACACGCGAGAAGAACTAAAATCAGAAATCCAAGAGTTTACATTTATAGGGCAACATCAGTAATGCTTACAAGTCTTTGTGTCTCTTTTCCAAAGCCGCCATGAGCTCGTGCGGCACTGTTTTCCAACTTAACACAGTTCGAGGTGCTGGAGGTCAGTTTCCAGACTCTGTCCACGAGGAGGAGAAGCTGTACGATGAGTTGTTGCTGAGGTGGTCTGGTGTTTAGGTGAGAGGGGTTTCGTGAAATGGCACCAGAGTGTCGGCTGGTAGTAGGTGCTGTGAGACGTGCGATGTGTGCCACTTCTTGCATTCCATCCCTTCTTCTTAGGTGTGCATAGTACGAGCTTGCTGTATGCTCGGCATTGGCTCCTCTGGGCCTCCTCTGGCACACACACGAGCACGGAGCTGCATACACGAGAGAGCAAACACACTCCACAGCAGCCGACATGAGAGGAGTTGGGTTGTTAAAGCACTGGCACTTTCCGGTAACCGCTGGCTTGGAAGGCATGGTGGCAGCTGATTGTTGTTGTTGTTGTTGTTCTTGCTGTTTTGTGGTTTTAGCAGAGCAGAGTATAGAAAATAGACACATTTATCTACTGTATATTGCATATGTTGCAGCATGTTGCCAAAAATGAATGAGGTCATCATGTCCAGTTTTGTTAAGCTAAAAAAAAAAAAAAAAAAAGAAATAAGAGATCCCCTGCCAAACAGAAAGAAAATTAAAAACACAATAAATTAAACTGACCTGTCCACCTCCCTGCCAGTAAAGAGGGAGCTGGGGAATACAACAGTAACAAAAAAAATAAAAATGAAACAGGTGCAAAAATGTTGCAGAAATGAGAGATTTTGCTGACAGCTCGACTAGATGAAGAACAGATGAAGCTGTTTGTCTGAGACGTCACAGGGCGGCTTACAGAATGTCCCATGACCCCAAAGGTCCATGCTTCGGTTCCCAATGCTACTGTAACACCACTCAAGAGTAGGGCTGCACACCACTTTGAGTCAGAACTGTTTTCTGCTTCGTTTTGTTTTGTTGTATTACGATTGATCCTGGGTCCTAAGAAATAAGGAAGTGATGACACAACTAGTACATCATCTGAACCCGGATCTGGAGCCCGTTTTAATTAAGGTTTCCCAGACTTCTTTCTGCTGATGTATATGGTTAGAGTAAGTCCTCCTGAGTCTGCGATCAGAGCTGCATTTGTAATAACAGTCTGTTCTTTAAAGCCGCAGTCTGCTGCAGAGAAAGAGTAGACCTTCAAATGCAGTAATTGATGATTAGAATAATGTATTTGACACAGCTAGCTGTGTAATTAGCTTGAATATTAAGAGGGAGTGTCTCATTTTGATGCTCACAAGAATTGGTAATTGTAAATGAAAGAATTAGGAAAACTCCAACCGGGCATGTAAAAAATACATGTTGCAAGAGGCAGCAACATAATGAAACAATGAGGCAGCAACATAATGAATTTTTTTTTTTTTTTTTTTTTAAAGGAACTGTAAGAGTCTTAAGACCAACAGGATTATGGTCTATTTTCTAACTTCAGATAAATTACACAGCTATTGTAACAATACTTTTGGTTGGATATTTAGTATAATAATGCCATTACAAATACAGTATGATATATGACACATCAGTGTTGTAACATCAATGCACATAGTTACATTCATCTCAGAATGTATTGGGCAACTAACAGATAACATGATTGGATCATTCCTACAGTTTCGTTTTCATTATACAGATTTAGTGCATTGATCAGCAGAATGTTTTTATATATCTTAATTCAAAGATAGGTAACTTGCAGCCCTACTGAGGAGTAGCTTACTCTCTGAAGAGATGACTGACGTGCTAATATACAAATGAGGATGTGATGAGAGGACTTGAGGAGATGAGTGCGAAGCTCTGGCAGCTCAGAGGTTCCTCAAGTGATTCCCTGTCCGGCCTTAAGTGAGCTGATGGGGTCTGAGCTCTAACTGGTTTGGTTTGTAATGAACGGTGAGTTTGGGAGTCTACATGGACCCCAGTTGCCCCAGTGGGTCTTTCAGAAAAATTCATGTAATGAATTAGGAAGATGGAGGATGAGTGGAGGCTTCCTTTAATGCCTCTGATATCCCATTAGATCCATCCATTCAGCCATTCATGTGTGTATGGAAGGCCAGTGCGACACACGTATACACATGGTTCCTCAGTTTCGGATGTAGAACTCGGCAGTTTGTCCATGAATGAAATAGGATGAGAAAAAAAGAGCACAAGTGGGCAAAGTCTTCACTTCCCTTTACAACCAAAGGGAAGATACAATCCATGAATAATAATAATGACGATAACAATGCTTTAATGCTAACGATATGGGTGACAGTCAGATATGTGTGTGTGTGTATGTGTGTGTGTTTTGTAGTCGTGTCTACATCTTGATTCCTTCCTGTTGGCTGAGCTGAGAGAGCGTTTTCTTGATTCGGAGGGCGGTGAGTCGGGCAGCACTGTTTGCATACCAACACTCCCTCATTATCTTTGCCATCACCCGTAAGGCCTGCAGAGGAGAGAGATGACAAACGTTAATATGACTCCATTACAACATGATGCCATGGGAATTACACAGATCTGATGTCTAACATAAAAAAATGTATATGTATTGAAAGCAGATATTTATAAAAGCTCAGGCACTTTTTATTTCCGTTTTGACATGAGCTGAACCACATCACAACTTTTGAGAAAATTTGGATGCCATATAATCGTTGGGGTTCCTCAAGGCTCTCTCCGTGAGCCACTTTTATTTGCACTGTACAAACTTCATAAAAAGAATACCTCCTTTTCAAATATTTAGATTAATGCAATTAGGCTCTATGCATTTATTAATCCTGCTCATTCCTCCAAATCAAACAAAAACTCTGACCTAGTTTCATTAACTGGATTTGGTTACACTATGTGGATGTTTATTAGCTGGCTCAAGGAGAACATCTGCTTTAGAAATGTCCACATAATTTACACATTTTACTCAATACAAACATGGTTTCAACTTCCTTCTGGAAATTGGTGATTATGTGTAATTCAAGTGGTCCCAATAAGCCCAGCTAACACTGTGCAAATTGGGGCCATTTCTGACCAATATCTTGAATTGGCATATTTTTAGTGCAGCGCTTGCCATGCAGTGCACAGGAGGTTAGGTTGGTTGTGCATCATAAACGATTATTTTGTGCAGTGCAAGTTGACACTCCACCATGACATTTATACAATCATACAGTTTCTGTGATTAAATGAAGATCTCAAGTCAAAGATTTGTCTTTGTGTATTTTATTGCTCGAGCATAAAGGGATTCTTTTGCAAAAGGGGGAAACTTATGCAGGAGTGACAATCAGCACAAATGCATAGCAGAGTCCCACTCGGGAGCGGTTACATCAGGACATTTATACCAGATTTCACAAAGCAAGGCACTCTCATTGGTTGTCTCATGTCGACCTGTGGCACTCTCATTGGTCGACCCATGTTGACCTGTGGCACTCTCATTGGTAGACTCAGGTGGACAGGTTATGTAATCTGCCTAGAGACTAGTTTCATGACACCTTATAAGGTGACGGTTACGTTTGTGTGCTGGTCATTCAAATAAAGGTGACAGTTATGCAAATCGGGTGTCGTACAAGCCAGATGTGTCACCTGTTGAACATATAATTTTTCCATTACACAGTGTATACCTGTCTTTAGATGTGCCAAACATATTCCCTTCGCTGTAATAACTCCAAAAAATCCTGCTGGTGCCTGATTGTTGTTTATATGATTGTGACTATAACTATGACTGCCTGAAAGTGCTCCAGAAACCATCTAGGAAGAGTTGGCTTTTCTTCAAATCACCACAAGGAGTAAGTAAAGGAGTCAGGAAACAACCACTTTATACTACCCGCTGTTTGGCATAGCTGCAAAATGAGGTTAATGATATTCCAGGCCTTAACTGTTTGTAAGATTAAACATTAATTAACATTAACAGCCTAACATTTCTAACAGGCTTTCAGATGTTGCCATCTGCTGACAGGAAATGCTTCTTTAAGAAGTGGGATATCACAATACACAATAGTACATTACAGTACTTTTATTTAGCTGACATTTTTTATCCAAAGTGACCTATAACAAATGCATCAACCCATGTGGATATAATCCCAAAACATGCAAGAACCATCTTCAGCAAATCTGCTGTGCTCCTTTCAAGAGCTTCATACAATATTTACTCAGTTATTTTGATGTTTTTCTTCATGACTGAATGCATTCAAATTAAGAAAGCTTTTGGTTTCTTGAGTGGTTTTGGTGGATATGAAGAAGCTTGTGTTGTAATCATCTTGGCATCAGTTTTATTATTATTGTCACTGCAACACCTTTTTTTTTGGTGTGTGTGTGTGTGTGTGTGTGTGTGTGTGTGTGTGTGTGTGTGTGTGTGTGTGTGTGTGTGTGTGTGTGGGGGGGTGTTGTCTGCCACTGCTGTTTCTCTTTGCCATTTGTATTGGTGAGATTGCATTACAAAAGCATTTACTAGTTAAATTATTTTACATTAAGGACAAAATATAAGATTTTATGTGCCCAAACCGGTAAAAAAAACTTTTATTTTTAAAGCAATACTATCTAACACCTCTACCTGTGTCTGCTTTTAGAATAACTACACTTTAGTTTATAACCCTTAGGGGAGAACAATTCTGACCGATTTTTATAAATAATTTAAACATTTAAAGCTCCTGTGAGGAGTTTTAAGCTGGTTATGAAAAAGACTGAGATGAATATTGATTCCTCAATATGACTTACAAAAGCAAAGGAGACCATCAGAGAGAAGACTGATTATTTTTATAGACCCTTAAAATCAGGAATATAAGTCGCACCTGTATACAAGACGCAGTCTGTTTGGGGGGTTTCATAGAGAGAAAAAAAGGTTAAACTGTCTTACTGAATGATAGTGTCAATCAAGTTCAGCAAAGCCCACAACGTGCAGTTCGAGTGCAGCTTTGTAGCTCTGTTATACCATCTGTTTTTTGCCTTGTGACATTTGCACTCCTAGTAGCTACAGTTCAGTAGTTGAACTCTCAGCCTACAGTGAAAGTATTGAAGTACGGACCCACAACCAGCACAACTCCACTGGTCACTTGTTGACTTTAATCAAGAGGTCTTGAATCAAAAAAAGCCTTATTTACTGAACAAATACCCCTGTTTTCTTTAAAAAAAAAGTATTATGACTTATTGTTAAAATAAAGCAGGATGAGGTTTTTGGTTAGAAACCTATACTTTTGAATGACAAATTCAGCAGAGAGACAACAAGGTTCAACTATTTCCACAGGGGCCCGCCAAAAGTTCCCCACAGGAGCATTAGTCTTTGCCTCATTTGATTTGATCTCTTGAGAAATTTGGTCAAATCAAACTTAATTCATTCGTCTCGCCTCATTAAATTGACAACTTCTTACTAGACATTGCCAATAAGCTTTGATTCAGGGACAGAGCCTCCAGAGGTTACATAGATTCCTTCATGTCTCACTTGGCTCATCTGGTATGTGTGAGTCAACATGTCTGTGTGTGTGTGTGATTTTCTGTCTCAGTATGTTGGCGTCTGTCTGGTGATGAGGTGCTGCCGCTGCTTCCACAGGACTTCCTACAGTGCGTGTAAGGACAGCAGACACTTTCCAGACTACCGTTCTTCGGGTGTATTAGGGAAAATCTTACAATGTGACAAACACAAAGTTCACATGATAACAGCCTATTTCCTCTGAGCAAGAGGAAGCTTTTGTCTTATGTAAGGGCTTTCAGATTATAAAGATTCAGACAGGACTTTCTTTCCATAAATCTGCAAGTCTGATTCAGTGGATTAATGGTGGCATGTGAGGACTGTAAGGAAATCCCCCACACTGGTCCCAGGATGTACATCATCACCCCTTCCGGCTCGTTTGCTTTGAATTTTCCTGAATATTCCCTGCTGTTTTTACATCAACTTAACTCAATTAAACATGGTCAATGTACGAGGGGGCTGGCAGGAAACAAATCTGGAGAAAGTCAGAGTTGCTCAAACTGTGTGCGTCTGTTAAGTTTAACTTTTCAACAGAAGATTAAGCTGTTTGCACTCAAAAATGCAGCCCACCCTGAATATTTTATGAAGTTTTCAGGAGACATGTGAATAGGGCCTTACAGTAAAAAAAAAAAAAGTGGAAAAACATTCCAATAGCTGTGTGTGAGGAGTATGGAATACCTTGGAAATCATCTAAGAAGAACCTGTTGTATATACCATGAGAATGAAAACTGCATTCGTCCACTTAAAGCCCAATTCACACATACTCTGTGCACACTGCGCTGTCCGTCAGAGCCGCGCACTACGTTGTACTTAGCTTCCACTCTAGTCAATCATTGTGTTCACACAGGGCGCGCTGCGGTCTGTCTCCGGTGCGAGCCACCGACGGCAACACGCTCTGCTCCGTTTCAAATACGCAGCGAGTCAATTTTCTGACGGACCGCGGCGCACGGAGTATGTGTGAATTGCGGGTAATACAGTACATATTTTGTTTGAACTGATTCGTAGGTCGTTTCTACCCATGCAATGGACAACATACTCTGGACTCTATCCAATAGGTCAAATATGTGCATGCTGAGTGAGAAGCCGATGCATGCTTAAGTGAATTAATTTCTTCTTATTTATTGAGATAAATTCAGACCTTTGCGAGGTGTCTTGTGAATGCTCATATTGTGATAACGATGAAATTACAATGGCTTGCACAGCACTATGAAGACTCATACCTGTAAGCTGTGCATCACTTCTTCGACATATTCCCCTCTTTGTCTAGTCGTCACAAAACAGACATTCACCCCTGTCCACATCAGCAACTAACCCAAGTGTCTCAAAGACTCAAATATATCACACAAAGAATGTTGAAGTATCTGAAGTATGTACTCTGTATGTACCCTACTACATACTGAGCTGTGTACTGATTTATTTTCTCTGTTGTATTCCAAGTTATTTTCTACTGTGCAGGACAGTTTCTCAAAGGTTAATGTCCAAGTGTGAACACAGGGAAGCTTACTTATTGTTCACACTACTTGATTTAAAATAAGTGTAGTGTGTGGACTTCTTCTTGGTATACTTCTCATGTCTAGTGGGGTGGTTTTGTAGGGTCAAATCAAAGAAGATTTTCTTGCCAAAAAAAAAAAAAAAAGCTAAACTTGTTTGAAGCAACAAACAATATGCTGCACAAACAAGTAAGCAAAGCAAAACAGTTGTTTTCTTAAGCTGGGTCAATATTCAGAGGGAATGCTTCATCAGCACTCTCCATTACTCTTTTCATTTTTATGCTAATAATGGATTGTTTTGGGTTAACAAACACTCCCTTGGTCAGCATCGTCAGGTTCTGTAGATTTTACTGGATAAACCTGTTTGTCTGTCTGTGGGTACATCAGTGGCTCTCTTTGTGTGTGTTCTCTCTGTTTACTCCCAGCCCAGACAGTGAAACCAAATCCAAACCAAATTTAATGTAGGAGGAATGTCAGGAGACACAAGTACACACTGCACATATCTCATTTCAAGCCAATTCAATCATTGTTAGAATACACTGGTTACAAAGGGGTTTGCCTGACAATGGTATAAATAAGAAGGGCAGATTTATGCTTTTAGGTTACTTAGATGGAGGCCAACTATAGACCCAAATTGATTTAAAGAGCTGAAAAACAATTATAAGTAATAGAGAAGGACCCTCTGGAAGCATGACTACCCATGGTAGAGTTGGATCAAATAAATCAGTGCCTGCCCAATATTGCGGTTTATGTCTATTTGTATAGAAAGTATTAATTGTGCTTTAGGATACTGAGTCTCTATAATACATGATCTGAAACTGGTCAAGTCCCAAGAGAAACATTTGTTTCAAAAGAAAAGTCAGACCTACATAATGACATTTTCATTTTGCATTCAACTCCAAAACCTTTTTTATATGTCTTTATTTAGAGACAAGACAATGGGTAGAGTAAGAAAAACACGGGGAGAGAGAGTGTGGGGAATGCCATGCAGGAAAGGAGCCTCAGGTTAGACCTGAACCGAGGCCGCCCGCTAAGAGGACTGTAGCCTCCGTACATGGGGCGCGCAAACTAACCACTACACTACCGGTGCCCAAAACCCTAAATTTTCTGACTTGATATTTTCTTGTGAAGTCAAGTTGTATGAAGTTTTAGACTGGATAATGAGACGTAAAATGATTACATTATTGATGTTCATTATTTAACTCATGATTTACTCATGTTTACTCTACATTCTCAGCTGATATTGGTCATATTTTGGTGAATAGCTATTAACAGAAAGTATTCTGCAGTTTCTCACAGTTTGTGCTGCGCTGAACCTGTCAATATATAATGTTTAACATTTCAATGTGGTGGGAATAAAAAGTCTGGTTTGATAAAAGTTCTAAGGAGGGGCTTTTTGTATGGAGACAACACAGATTGATAAGGCCTCTAAAGTGAATTTGAGATGTGGTTCTGAGAAAAAAAAAAGAAGCATTTCAAAGAACGTCTATGATGTTTTCATATCCTGGTACAACCCCAATAAAAAAATGTCCGGCTATAGCATTGGGCACTGAGCATTTATGAGATATGGCACTAACAAGGTGACAAAGAAAAGTGGACCCTGAACTGCAGCTTTCTGCATCAGAGACAAGATTTATCTAAGATGGCACTGACATGTTGAAACTTTTATAGAGAGAAAAGCCTTCACTGTCTGATTCAAAAGGTTATGTTGATGATTTGTTCTCTAAAAGGAAGAGAAAAAAAATCGATCATTTTATTAGCCAATCTTTTGAGGGTAATATCCACCAATCTTCTGCTGATGAGAGCTGCAAATTCCATTATTACGGTCCTCTCAAGCCTTGTGTTTGAAATATGTGTAACTCTGAATCAAGAAGTGTTTTCCCTTAAGAAGAACAGATTCAGTCCAGACCACATTATCACAGTCGTCTGGAGGGCACCAGAGAAAACGACGGCTAAGGTTGAAATATAAAACAGTTTGCGAGTTCTGAGATTACGTGATGTGCACTGATATCCAGCTTTGTATGTGTGGGAGGCAGAGTTACAGCTATGACAAAGCTGGGTTTGAAAAGGAGTCTGGTTGGAGAAGATGAGGTAGACAATTAGTAGTCCACTCAGTAGGCCCTCACAAAGTAATCCAACAATATGATCCAATGAGTTATCTAAGCGGAGAGGACGGACGGAATTACAGAATCTGACAATGAAAATTGAATCCACTGTTACGCAGAACATCTCTGAATTTGCTGAAATGTGTGTGATTTATAACACACCCCCACACACACACAGATTTTCCCTATCAATCTAAGTGTTTTCAACAGTTCCTGATGTTGAGAGTCTGCTAGGGTGGGGCTAGTCATCCCCACACAGCCTGACACCAGCGAAGAGGCAATCTGAGACGTCAAAGTCATCAAAAAAAGAAATGCGTCAATCTCCTACATTTAACTTATATGACTCAGGAGAGAAACTTTTTCTGTAGGATTTATCAGCATACGATTGACATGCAATGACCACTTACAATCCAGAACTAAAATTAAAAAAACAGAGAGACAAGCAAAAGCTCATTACTTCAGTAAAGTCGCCCTCATACAAACACATCGGCAGAACCAAAGACCTTGTGGCTGTATAATATGCGGAATCAGTTCTTCTGGAATGAAAAAGCTACAACCATTTCTGGCGAGTGAAGCATTGTAAACACAGTGTGTTCTCCGTTCAGGTGACAAAACATAGTCACATCAGTAAAACACAGAATTCAGAAAAATTCAAATGAGAAAAAAAAACTGACTTTTGGGAAAATTATATAATAAAAAATCTGATTTCATGAAGAAGAACTGAAGTTGGATCAACAATTACGCAACCTGACTTGGCAAAACAGCAAATCACCCAAGTATTTAAATAACTGTCCCCAACGAGCCCCTGGCATTCAAACAGCCTACAACATTTTAAGTATCACAACTGTATGCATGAAAATAGAGACAACAGCCTGACCCTATTTCCTCTCGTCTAAAAAATGTCTTTAAGAAAATATTATTATTAAACTGTTGATGCTACAAAGTGCAAGCAAAAGTAGACTCAATTACACTATTTGAGTACAATGATGTTAATGGTTAACATTTAAAAAAACAAACTGCAGACATTGTCCAACTGTATGGTCATGTCTCTGCCTTCCCACAGCCCTGTGCCTTAAATTCACCTGAATCGACTCAAATTAAATAGTAATGATTCCCACTGCAGTAAACAAACTGATACCACAAGTGTGCATGCCCAAGCCTGCATGTTATACTCTGTTCAAACTGAAACCAGAGACTGCACGGCAAACAACACACACACACACACACACTTTCTCCTCCAACAAGCTGAGTGGATGCTTCCTCTCTGGGGACTGTGGTCGTAAGCCTGCCTGTGTTTGTGTGGGTGTGTGTGAGTGTCTGAGTGTATCAAATGATTGAGCAGTGTTACTGAGAAGGACTCCGGGGCTTGGAGGGTAAGAAACAACATGCATGCCTAGTTTGAAAATAACAGAATCTAAACAGCTGGCAGAACAAGACTCCGTCATTTAAAACTTAAACATCACGGCTTCAAGTGGAGTTTCTTCGAGTCTATATTTGTCTACATTTGGGCAAATTGGCCCCATTTAAACTAAGTTGTATAAAGCTGTTGGCCGTAACTATTGCAATATATCTATGTTCCCTAACTCTGCATCTCTCCTTCACATCCCTAATGCTGTTTCTGACTCTTAAACACTCTCCTGTCCCTCCAGGGAAACGCTCCTAATAGTTTCAAATAATGTGGTTTAGTCAGGGTTTTTTTTCAATGATGTAATGTTGTGTCATTTTGTATTTAGACTTGCAGTTAACAGAGCTGCCACACAAAGTCAAAAACTTCAATGGGCAGTTAGGGAATGTAGCATCTGTATTATTTTACACATTTGCAGTTATGAGTATGATGACAGGCTGTTGGTTACAAATCAAAGCTCAAAGACCCTTCATTTTTCATTGTTCGAAGGGCTTTTAGTGGGATTTATTTGTCCACAGGAATTTTCTTCTCTCTAAAATAAATGTAACCAGTGAAAAATGTTTTAATTGAGTAGATCGAAAACGGATGTATATCTGTTGCTCTTAGTGGTGATGAAGGAGATCTTAGCCTAATTCATGCTAACTTGAGTTGGCTGGCTTACTAAAGCCCAACATCCACTTAATATATATAGTTCAAGACATTAATGACATGACTTTAAACACAAACAATGAAGTTACCTGGGGATGTCTGTGTTTTATTGCTTGTGCAAAACTCTGATTCAACCTCAGTCTTACAGGTCAAACCTGAGACTCATGCAGGCTGATGAAGGAGCTCTGTGTGGCTCTGAGCTGGCAAAGTTAATGATCCAACATGTTTGACACTTTGACCATTGTCCTACCTCACAGCTCTGCCAGCGGTTGGGAATGTTGGGCCGAAGCTTCTGCTCACAAACAACCTTCCTCATCTCCTCCACTGATGGATCTGACTGAACCAGGTCATAGTAGGGCAGCTGGTAGTCCTCATGGATGCCTGCCAGGAAAAAAAATATCAGTTTAAAAATTCATCAGTTTATGCTTTTCATTAAAATGGTTTGATGCTTTCAATCGAGTCTGTCTGATGCATGATCAGACAGACTGATGCATGATCAGACAGTCTGATGCACACATGTAGCAGCGTCTGTCTGATCATGCACCTTCCCTCCATCCAAGATACTTGTGTGTCAGTTTTTCTATAATTAACTCTCCTCCTCTTTTGCTTTATTCATCCATCAGTCTCTATTTATTTGCCATGCTCCTCTTCATTCAGCCAATGACTCACATGCCTCCACCCAGCTCTCATTTGATCCTTACCTCCCATAGAGCAGCGGCTGGCGATCTCCCAGAAGACCAGGCCCATGGCGTAGATGTCTGCCCGCTTGAAAGACTCAAAGTGTTTCATGTTTATGGAATCGTCCAGGACCTCTGGTGCCATATACCTGAGCAGAAAGATGATGGACTGTTATATAAAACAAATTCTTATTCATGCAGCCATTTTTATACCATGGTACTTTTAGTTTCTTTAGCACAGATAATATGATGCTTTTTCATGGGAAATGTGTGAAATAAAAGTACACAACTTTTAAATAAGGGGATAATCATCGGACATCAAATGAGCCTTAATAAACGGCCATGTAAGCAGCGTGTTTGAGACACATTCAGAAACAAAGTGGAGATGAGTTCATGGGCAGCAGCAATCAGCTAACAGTGGGAGTGCAAAGTGAAATGTTGGTTTAAGGAAATAAATTGGATCTTACACTTGACAGAGAGCCAGGGCCCTATTTCCTAAAAGCTTCTTAAGTCTACTGTGATCATAAAATCCATTTAACAAACCTTTTCAAGCATTCATTCAGCGAGGCCACATTAGAGCCTCCTACTCACTTCAAGGCGTGATGCATCTTCTGAAGACAGAAAAGCTCCACTACTTACTACATTTTTTATTCAGTATTCATTGTTATTGTTTTATTAAGCTTATACTCAGAGACCACTATCATGACTGACAACAAGAGAAAATCACAAATTCAGATCACAGAAGTTCTGCTATCACCTCGGAGACACAAGAAGAATCTACAACAACCAAGCCTCTGATGTCTATATACTGAACAGCCATTAAAAACGTAGAAAGGAAGTTGATTAGGGGACAATATCATCATGTTCTTATTTTTTTTGGAGAATGCTTGGTTTTGATCATTTTATTAAATTTGCCAGCATTAAAGTAATAATGTCATAAATGTTTCAATAACCAAGCTCCTCAGGTGCTCAGTGACATCGGGTTCCCTTTGAGAGTATTGGGCTCAGCAACACATGGACTGCGTTTATCTTCACTCACTGATACAGAGGATGGTAACAGTAAATAAAGGTCCAGTGTAAACACTTCAATGGTGTGTTTGTTTGTTGAGTCAGGCAGAGTTAATGTCCAGTGCCATCCCAGACAAACAGAGGAGAAATAAGAACTTCCCACCAAATATCAGTTAATGGGTAACCTCACCTGCTGCTTTAGAAAACACTTCTTATCCTTTGAAAGTGTTCTTCAGGAGTGTTGTCTGTCTCCTGCCTGCACCCTTAACTGTTTGTGTCTTACTTTTAAAGTTAAAATTGAGGGAATTTAGATTAAATTATTAGAACTGATTGAATGTCTGCTAATTAATGCAAGTTAATTGAATATTCACAAGCGCTGACATGAACCGATGTAGATCTCTGCTATTAAATATGACGTCTTCAAGTCTATAAATAAAATCTTAGCATTTTGCAATTATCAGTCATCATCACTGCTTTGTGCGTTCTAAAAGTGAAACGTTTTCCCTCAGTTCATCCAATTCCTCCAGCCATTTGAAGGCAGCAGAAAAGATTAGTGAGGTGATCATTCAGCCTCCAAATTAAAAAGTGCCACATTATGATTAGGACCCATTACACAGTGCGATCCATTTCAGCTATCCTGATTAAATTCTAAGTGAACGTAGCACCAGGTTATGGAAGAAAGATAAACACAAAGTCCTCATATTAGCTGACCTCACATTTGCTTATGGGGGCATTCTGTGCTTACAGAGACAGGCGCATCTATTTAAAAAATAAACCTTGGGCTCTGATGTGCTCAGTCTCTGATGATCTGTTATGAGATGGATTAAACAGTGTAGTTGAAAGACTTCAGCACTGGGATGAAATGTGTACAAATAATGAATGAAGTGCCTCGATTTGCAAACATTTGATGCTGCCCCAGTTGAAAAAAAAAAAAAAGGGAAACTAACGAGCTGAAAATAAAAAACATTTTTGACAGAAGACTCATAGGAAGCTCAAGTAAAGACATTTAAAAAGGAAGCTGTCTTTATTTAAATAATTAATAATAGAAAGAAAAGACACAAACAAAGATTGTAGTTGAAGCCGAGTCTGTTGGAGATTATAAACATGATTGTGTCTTCATAATTTCAGGAACCAAACAGGGATGGCTTTGGCTCAGTGGTCGAGGTTGTCTTCTCGACCATCCCAAATTGCTAAAGAAGACCTTCAGACTGTGAATGTGTTGTAATCTGAGTTATTAGATCCATGGGCAGTCGCACTTTGCATTTCAGCCTCTGCCATCAGTGTATTAATGTGTGTGTGAAAGTGACATGTTTTCACATGTGAACACAAAAACTCCTGATAATGTGCCTACATTTTGAGGGTGATGCAGATGGCAGAATTTCCCAGCTTGATTTAAACTGACCTGCGGCGTTTCCTTCCAGCTAACTAGTAAAATTTCTGTCTGAAGTCGGGGTGAGCTGATTGGTGAACGCAGCAGGAAATAATCAATAATAATTGACCATGAGCAAATGGGTGTAAAGCCATGATGTGTGATGTGTATATAGCCCTACTGGTGTGTGGCTGGTGTGATCGACCTGCATCCACTGAAGCTGCTTCAAACTCGTATCTGCTCGCCTGTATGTTCTTCTCCCCATTTTCAATGATGCTTTTGAATACATTCATTCAACACACAGAATCTCAAGAAGGCAAATGCTGTCATCATAGGGTTCTGTCCTTTTGTCAACCATTTGTGCAATGGTAATGCAGCATGAATGTACACTGAGTGGTTGGAGAGCTACAAAATATAAGTGCAGTCGATTTACTGTTTTACATCTTAAAGCATGATGTACAACCTTGACCCCTTGCACTTTAGATGAATAGACAGTTTCTTTAGGGGAACAATCTGTCAGAGCCTGAAGGAAAAGCTTTTACAGAGAAACATCGGATGCTTTCAGCAGTTACCAGCATCATTAATAACTGTTGAATTCAAATGAAAGCACGATGCATTCACATTTTGCACCAAGCAACAAGTTGTCCAATTAAGTTGAACTCTTAGATTGGACTGCTACTTTGCTGGAAGTTTGGCATCATGATAGAAAGCAAACACACAGCACTGCTTGTAGCAGGTCATCAATATGTAACATGAATTTCAGCCAAGGCCAGAGCGTCTGTGTGCACTGACCCCAGGGCTTACTGAATCATTTAGTGGCCCTGTGATACGCCGGCAGCATCAAACCACCACATGGAAAAGGAACGATGAGAAGTCATACACAAGAAAAAAGAGTGGGAGGAATAACAGAGCCTCGTGAACACTATAGTTGTATCAGTGGAGGAAGGAAAAGTGGGCTGAATGTAAATCATTCCGACCCTATGGCTACATTGGCTAGACATGTCTGCATGATAGAACAAGGGACACACAAAGGACAAGTGATTGTGAAAACAACTGTGGTTGGTGAAATGGTAAGAAGCAATGAATAAGTATCTGTGTGTCTACTTCAACGTAGCAGTGTTTTATCAGCTTTCACTAAGAAAACCTGTCCTTTATCGCTATATTTGGTTTGTTTCAGTTGTTCTCAGACATTGTTTGGATTCATTTCAAGGTCTTTGATGTCCTTGGGTCCTGACTGACCTCATCACACTGCTTTTTTGATCACCAATGACACAGCTGGAGAAGCCAAAAGACACTAGACTGATCTGATCAGAGACGAAGTCCTGATAAACCAAAAGTAACCTCTTTGATTTAAAACAGTCGAGGCAGATAGCCTGAAATTTGAAAGGCCTCGACTCTTCTATTTAAAACCCAAACCTCTGCTGTGACTCTCTTCCGAGCTCAGAGCCCACACTCTGACAACATCACAGAAATGTTTTCGTCCCAAAGGACATTCATGTCATTATAATAGCTGAAGGAGCCAAAGAGTTGAGCAAGATGATCCCAGTTACATCATGACAGAACTACAAAACAGATGAACATAGTGATGATGAAATGGACTGCATTTTTATAGTGCTTGTACTATATCTCTTCCAACCACTCTAAGCACATTGACACTACACCTTTTAGGGCCCAACTGCCCATCGGTACTAATCACATCCACAAATTATTGGTTATGCCTTTAGGAGCACCTTGGGGTAAACATCGACATCAGAAAGTAAACTTCAACATGAAGACGTCCAGAGTCGGATAATAGATCACCAAATTTCTGATTAAGAGATGACCCCCCCCCCCCCCTCAGCCACCCAGATCCTAAATTGCTGCTCAGAAAGTACAAAAGGACTAAAATCAGGTTGTGTTTTAAAAGATTGGTTCATGCAGCATGAGGTTACCTTTTGGTTCCCACTCTGTGGTTTGGAGCGATGTCGATGGTGTCGGTGGCCGAGTCATGGCGGACAGCTAGACCGAGGTCAGCAATGCAGCAGGTCCCGTTCTTCTTCACCAGGATGTTCTTTGACTTCAGGTCTCTGTGAGCTATTGCTGGCTTACCTGCAAGACAGAGTACACAACATTCAACAACAAAAAAAAAACTTACAGTGTACACTTTCTCAAAGTTAATCAGGATGATTTTGTAAAGCAATAGTTCATAAATAACAGGAATGTGTGTCAATATTTAACTTTGACACTTGACTACAAGCTGGATTAACAGGTTAAAAATCAGGCTGCTCCCTCATCAAGAAACACGACTGCAGGAATACCCTTATAATGGCCGTGCTATTAGAATCTACTTACTGCGCCTCCCCATGAGTCTGCTTCACATGAAGGTAGCCTGACCATCTGAGCAGTTTGGATGGTAACCCAGTGATGGCTTAATTCGGTTAAAAAGACTAAATCTGGCTGCAAATTTCATGCAGTGCTGGTCGATCAAATAAATGCATTTGCACAATCCTGATGGATTGCTTCGCCACATTAAGGCTGAATTTCTCCTGGCGATGGAAGATTAAAATATTTCCCACAGTGACAACTTTACAGGGTTGTAAAATCCAATTTAACCGCAGACGGTTTCACCCTGAATCCCCGCTTAAGGGATTAAATAAATGATAGAGCTGCATGCGATGCCTCCCTGGGGCCGGCTGCTTACTACCCCTTTGTTGTGACAGTAAGAGAGACAATCAATTGATTTATTTTCAGTTTAGCTTCATCTGCCACTATCCAATGGAACTGACCTGGTCGAGGTTATCAACAGGAGTCCCTTACTTATGCAGCTTTACCAATAAAAGACTAAAGACTACACGTGTCTTAAACAGACGATTTACAACCTTTACAACTATTGGTGTTTGTGCATCTTAAAACAATTTCTCTGATGCACTGAGGAGTAAAAAGTGATCTATCCACACAAGATATACCTTGAAATGCCTTTTCAGTCCAAATGCAGGAATACTTCTACAAGTACTGCCTTCTCAAACTGATAAAACTCTTAAAAAGGAACGCCATTTCTTCTTTCTATACATCCAAACAACTCAGACAAATCTAAACTGCACTTGACATGTTTATAGCGCTAGTGGACCTCTGTTCACCTCAGTTTGCAGCAGAGAGCAAACCTGTCCATCTCCATTTGAGTCATACTTCTAGATTAGTTTTTTCAACTGCCTATGAGAGGTGGTGTAATTGAAGCTATGCAATTTAACCGCAGCTCTTGCCCTGATTGCTTTAGAGACTGTGTCTTGTTTCAGTGTTGTTTTCATCTTCATGAGCGTGTTTTTCATTTTTACGCCTTTAAATTTTCTGGTGAGTCTTATGAGCACAGGAATCTGCCTGTTAAATAAGGTGAGGCTCTTAAAGTGGCAGTAAGAACAGTAAGTGGCAGATCCCTCCTGTAAACCTCACCCACCAAAATGACACACCAAACGTGCCAGCCACAGTGTGCCCGCAAACTGTTTGCTCCACTCTGTTAGTCATGTCACTCAGATGACAGAAACACTGACAGCTTATCAATATACATCCCTAAAAGGCTCAGGAGTGGCAAGCGGTTTGTGCTGCACAGTCGTTATGCTTTCTGCAACACTGATATGAGGTGAGAGAGAGAGAGAGAGAGAGAGAGAGAGAGAGAGAGAGAGAGAGAGAGAGAGAGAGAGAGAGAGAGAGAGAGAGAGAGAGAGAGAGAGAGAGAGAGAGAGAGAGAGAGAGAGAGAGAGAGAGGTCTTCTGACTACTCAAAGCACTTTTACATTGCAAGTCTCACCTACCCATTCACATACTTAAACTGCTATGTAAAGTGGCCATCAGTACTAACTAATTCCATTTATAAACATGCACAAGCCCAGTGGCGATTCTAGAGTCGGTTGGGGCCCTATGCAAAAATTAATTGGGGGCCCCTCCAATTACTATTATATCCAGAAGTGTTGTGATGCTCTTCCTCTTTCTTTTTTTTTTTTTTTTACTCCCAAGACAGATAATTTGTCTTCATTTTCCTTCAGTGATTTTCAATGACAAACTAGGTTTTCACAGGAGATGCTAAGCAGGACTGTGAGAGTGAGTGCTCTCAAGATGGAGCCCCATTTCGGGGGGTTCCTACTGTCATTGCAAAATTTGCGCATGTTGAGCCACTGCTGTGGTTTAGAATTAGTCTGCCCTTGGGGGCCCCTAAGTGGCCTGGGGCCCCAAGCGGTTGCCTGCCTTGTCTGTTGACAAGCAGAGCCTCTGCACACGCCGCCAAGAGACCCAAAGGGACGTGTGGCTGCAGGAGCTGGGGATTGAACCCCCGACCTTCCCGTTGAGAGACGACCTAATCTACCAACTGAGCCTAGTTACATCCTGGATTAATTTGATTGGTTGTTTGATTCAGAGGTAGAAACATCGGGTGGATTAGACACATTTATTTCAAGGACCACTTTTGTATTATATTGTCAGTTATATGAAATGATCAAAATGTGTTATAACCAAATATAATGAAATAAAGTTGCCTACTGTCGCTTTAAGGAGAATTGATAATGTGCAATGATAAAGAAATAAACAAAAAAATAACATTTATATAAAACTGAAAAAAATTACAAAAAAGAGAAGTGAAGTTAAATAATGAGACATATATAAGTTTGTGAGCCTCACCTTGCGTGCCCACAATCTCCATGTGAAGGTGGGCGAGGCCGCTGGCCGTTGACAGGGATAGCTTGATCATGCCCTCCACGGTGACGGTGTAGCGGTTCAGGTAGTCAAACAGGGAGCCGTGTTCATGGTAATCAGACACCAGCCACAGCTGAGTCCACGTTCCATTATCTACACACAGACAGGAAAAGGAGTAGGGAGATAAAGGGTTAAAAATGAAGGTGGATTTTTACTTGCTCTACCAGAAAAAAAAGACCAATGCATTCTGAAGCACTGGAGCATGACTGATTTAATCTTATAGGACAGTCACTGCAAGTCTAAGTTCTGCATGTAAGCTATTGAACATACGGTTTTTGCACTTAGAGCAACATGTCTTGCAACTACGTTTGTATCCATGCAAAAATACCAGTTTTACAGGCTTTAAGGGTGGGGCAAGGACAAGACACATTTCTATATTTACATAAATGATAAGCAGTACCTTGTAGCTAAAATAAGCATCTCCAGTCTATAGTGGTTAAACTGTTACCACTCCTCTTTGATTCCAGCATACAACTTTACAAAGGTCCTTTTCAGCACTCCTTGGATCAGTCGTCAGTTGATCTTAGACAGTTGTTTAATGTTATAATTCCAGACGCATCAGTCAAGTCAGTGGTGTGGGCAGATTCAATGATGAATACAAATCAATGTACCCAGTGTCTTTTGTTCCATGATAACCTGGCGGAAGCACAGATTTATACCTGCTATGGAATTCATCGGCTGAAAGCGAGAATCCCTTATCTAACCATTTATCTCTGATGTATACGTGTCATTTGAATGAGAAACAGTGCGAGGAGCGTGTGACGTTTGATTCAAACTACGTCAATCAGGTTCAACATGTTTACTGGATATATTCTGTACTTTTGTCTGAGCGTAGTTCTTTAGTGTAGTTGTTTGAAAGTTCTACAAGGATGTATCTAGACAGAGCAAACCAAGTTTTACATAAATGTTTCATATCCTATATTCCACATATATTTACAGACCTGCAAAACCCCACAGCAGTGAAACTCTAAGGGGGACACAAACAATCCATGAGCTCCAGGGACACAGGGTTCTTGATTTTCTTTGCGTGTGAGTGTTTATGTATGAGAGTGTGTATGTGCTGCTGGAGCTGTTAGAATGTGTAATGTCTGCTTGGCCATCATTGTGAACTTCAACTCCCCCACATTGTCTACCAGCCAGTCTATTCAAATTGATCTCCTCACCTTTAGCAGAGCTGCATCTCTGACAAGCTCAAGGTTCAATATAAATACTGCAGCCCACGCTGTCATTTGCAGAATATAACATCCGCTTGATTCAAATCTTTTCCACAGGTTGGTATCTCCATTAAAACTCAATTATCTGATGATTTATCTTTCTTTATCGTCATTCAATTCTTCCTGTTACATTATCTTTGTATCTTCCTACTGGCTGCGATCTACTTTATATTCTACTCTTCTTCACTATGTGCAGCAGCTTTATGTTCTGCCTGATCTCGATTGGACCTCTAGGGCCTTTTCTGAAGCTCTCTCTCACCTTTGTTGTCTGCAGCGATGAAGCCCAGAATATTCTCGTGCCTCAGCATCACAGTCTGGTAAATCTCCGCCTCGCGAAACCAGGAGCGTTCCTCGCGGGAGGAGAAGATTTTCACAGCCACCTCCTCACCACGCCATTTCCCCCGCCACACCTCCCCAAAACGCCCCTTCCCAATGCTCTCCTGAAGGATGATGGTCCTGGCGATAGTCCTCTGGACCAGCAGTGGCAGTCCTGGTGAGGAAAAGACAAAAAATAAAAGAATTCTTCAAGTTGACTGCGATGTGTGATGAAACGTAAAAGCAAGAAGATGGAGGATGAAAATAATTGGGATAAAGTTACATTTGAAGGTAAAAGAACATGGTGTAACGTATCGCTGATGTGTTTTTAAGAGGCAAAAGACAGCGTTGATAACCTACACTATTACATCAGCATGTCTTTAAAAAGTCAGAACACAAGAACATCGTTTGGAACATTCAAGTCTAAAATTGTAGCAATGAGAAGATGTTGAAACATTTTGAAATAAATTATATTTTAAAAGAAAAAAGGCCTGAATAAAAATATATGATGAAATAGGATTTAATAATAAATATAAATATATGAAAAAAAACAACTTAATACACTCATATATATCAAATCCTACTGAGTATCCTGACTTCACTGTGGTTGGTGTGGAGTGTAAACTGAGGCTCTCTACTTCTCTCCTTTGTCATTACAGTATTTTATGCATTACATGCAAATCCTTTTATTCCCTCACTCAAAATGAGGATGACTTAGGGTCATATCATTGCATCATTTCCTTTTATTACATCTGAATTCTTAATTATTGAAGAGCAACTCTAAGCCCTCGCATCTTTTCCCCTGACAGTCGACAGCAGACATGTTCCAGCCTTGTTCAGGACTAATTAATAGATCAGGCAGTAATCTAGACAAAACTGAGCCTGAGTTACATGCTTACTCTCATTTGAATGCTTGGTTTAAGGCAATGTTGTGTTGTTCTTCTGGGAACACTTTTGTTTCTCATTACAGCAAATCAGTAAAAAAAAAAAAAAGGACTGGGCAAAACAGCTGCAATGATCAGGATTCACTGACTGAGTGTTTTAAATTTACATGATGCAAGACAAAAAAAACCTCAATTTCCATTTCAATATTGATATATTTTGATTTATAGTTTTAAAACACAACCTTTTTTTCATTTAATCTCCTGAACATCCTGCAATGTGACTGTTTAAGACACACCAAACTTAACCAAGCATCAGTCAACTCTATGTAATGCACACCACATAAAAATAGTATGCACCCATACTTCATGCTACTTTTCCCACAAGTCTATAGGGGGTTCTGATAAATCTTTACATTCAAGCTAGAGCCTGACCGTATTACCATATCTAGTAAATAACAGTATCTGCTAATTTTATCTTAGATATGCGCCAATATTACTAGATTTATTCACCGGCCAAATTGCGTTCAGTTAAGACTTCTCATTTAAATAGTTACTTTTCAGATGAAAATAGGACAACAACTGTAACCCTGTCAGATCACACTTTTGGCAGACTGATGAGGAAACAGGAAATGATAGTGGAGGATGCTCCTCCATTTTAAACCAAACCCAAATTCTGACTCAGCATAGTGATTAGAACAGCCCACGCAAATCTGGCATCACAGACACAGACGCACGCACGCACGCACGCACGCACATTGTGCAATATGGTTCAAATAGCTAGAAAAACTGGATCCAAGTCTCTCCTTGGCAGAGCGCTGGAGGTGCCAGTCTCCACAGAGAGGTGCTAATTTATGGCGATGAAAAAGGACAGCTTCTGCCAGTGCGTGTGTGTGTGTCTTTGTGTGTGCATGCATGTGTTTATGCAGTAATGCAGCCAGAATCTGGGCCAGTCCAGCATTATAATAAACAATCACTATTTAAGATATTTGCAGCTTCAGGCTCATGTTGCTGTACATGTGTGCTTACAGTGTGTGCACTGCTACGTCTGTATAAGCTGTCTACTTAAACAAAGACATTTATAGAGCAACACCAGAAATGTTTAAATTGAAGTCGATGTTGATTAATCTTAAAATACTTCATATAGGTTTTGTTTGACTTATACCAACTCATGATTTTATGTATTTTTTTTTTCCCAGTGTAAATTTCATCAACAATAGATTTGATGAATATCATGGAAAATATGATTTCCCCCCCGTGGATCTTATCGACTTGTAAAGTCATGCAGTAGAAAGATGTGTCTTCACCGCCAGGCAAAGAGCAGGAGAACGTGTGTGTTGGTGAGGCAGAACGACAGTCAACACTACAACGTTGAACGAGCATTAACAAGCTAATGATAGCCTGAAAAAGCAGTGACTTCGTTATGTCTATATAGTATCCCAATATCTGTAACCTTAAAAAGGATAAGACTTCCCTTTTTCAAGAAATGCATTAAAAAACTTTTGTGCTAAAATGTTTGACAGGGTTAGTCGTGAAAGTATTGTTCACAAACTGTGAGAGTACGACAAGTAGACCTCCTGAATTCAGAGTATATCAGTATTGTCTAGTATGATGCTCAAATACTTAAAGTAATGACTGTGCAGTAATATGTTCTGTGTACGTGTTTTATTATTATCAGCTATCTGCATTTATATGTTGCACTACATCAAATGTTTAAGGTTTTTCATGTCTTGAGTTTAGATACAACCTTGATACCAATCTCTGACACCTGTCAGGCTTATTACATGGGTTTAAAGAGTGAACATTTCACCAAAGGTAATAACTTGAATGTAATGACTTTGTATCGGCTCAAAGCAGATTCAAATGTTTATGAGTTGACGTAGACTAGAACTAGATTACAACAATAAAGGTGTGTGGGGGGACTTATAAGCATTTTCTCCTAAGACTATGACTCAATCTAAAATAGCTGTCAAAATTAAAACTGGTTTGTGCATCCAGATAAACACTTAGACACATTAATAACATTTAACTCTCAGTACATTTGTGTACGAGCAAAGGTAGCTGTCATTGCAGGCTCACCATTTCCCTCGTCTCATTTAAAGCATGTCGATTGATGTCTATCGTCTTCTCCAGCAAGTTCCCCCCACTGGCCTATTCAGCAGTAACAGGAACATGTTTGAGCCGCTCCATAAAGATGGATGTCTAACAACTGTTCAGTAAATATTTACATCTGTTTGGGGCCGCTTATTCTAATTAGATGTGTTTCCTTTAAAAAAGTAACATTCAGAACATAAGACTCCATTTGAACACAGCTACTGAGAAGCAGATGAAATATTTTGCAACCATCTGTTCATTCTAAGAAGGGTCAAGGACACTAGGAGGCAAGAGTACCTTTGAGGACTGCTGCACTCTGGTAGACATGATTATATGCCAATCCAGCTCCGTGAGGCCGACAGTTTTTGTACTGCGAAAACTTTTAATTTCCTTGAGCTGATCTGTAGCGAGACTGTAATGACTGCTGAGCTCAGAAGTACAAATATAGTTCGACCTTTAAATGCAAACGGCAACATCTCATGAATGAAACGAGGTAAAAGCAATCACACATGGGCCACCGTACCTGATCCTGAGCCTGAGGTGGTCATGTCATAGATGAGGTCCTTCAGTGTTGTTCCCACAGTGATGAAGGGGTGGTCCATGGAGGGGTCCTCTTCGTTGGGCACCCGATGATGGTGGTGATGATGGGCCCCGGCACCTCCCGCCCCGAGACCTCTGTGGCTGTGGCAAACATAAAACGCCAAGACCAGCAACAGGCAGAGCAAACACACAGGGCCGGCGATGACTGCTGCGAGGGCCACAGGGCCCAGAAGAGGAGTCTTAGCAGTGGGGACTGCGGGACAAAAACGGAGAGACACACAAAAGAGGGTTAGAAAATATGACAGATCTAAAGTGACCTTAAGCCTAGCCCCAAAATTAGAATGTCAGAAACGACATGATCAAAACGAGAAAGAGCAAGTGAGGCCACGCACTGATTGAAAGGTTAACTTTGAACATACTGATGGGCTGGCACGTGGCAGTCTAAAGTGCTAGACTCCAGCCAGGACGCTAACAGGCCAAGTGGTGCGGGGGCACATTCCATCTGCCCGAGTGATGGGAGATTTGGCCTGTAGCATACACACACACACACACACACACACACACACTCTGCCACATGGTCCAAAGAGGCAGCGTGTAGGCAATGTGTTCTACTGTGTAGCAAAGTGAATGAAGATAAAAGAAACAGTCTGAACACAGAAGTGACAGATGACCTAGAAAACTTGAATCATCCATATTTACAACTGTCTTAGTCCGAGTAATTCTTTGCCTTTGACCCATTGCATGCTGGGACATGTTCTCGTCCTGACTGACTTTAGGAATAACTGAGGATGACAGGACAAATATTGTTTACAAAACCCTCTTTATATACAAGTAGCCTCTGCCATCAAATCCTAATCAGAGGTAATGTTGATCAGCTTGGATTGATACACAAAATAAACAGTCTCCCACATTATCATGAACAGCAGGCGGTGGGGTTTGGGGGGGTTGAACATCAATTTTCTTTAAGAGGTGAGTAAAGCTTAACTGACTAGTTCATTACTGTCTGTGTGATGGATGAAGGCAGGCGGATGAAAGAAAATCACAAGTGTACACGTGTCACCAACGACACTGTTATGTAAATTGATGTAAACACGATGTCAGCATAGCCTTTAAATGACTTGCTCCAAATGCCTGCCAGCTGCCATGCTGCTGTGTCTATATCTATAAGACAGACGCAAGACATTAATATTTGTATATTTATTTGTCACCTTTAAAAAAAAAAAAATCAAATAACCGAGTGTGCTACGATGTAAAAGCTATTCCACTGAGGCTGGCGGTGACTCTGTGCGTTATCTATCCTCCTTTTTCGAGCTTAGAGTCTGTAACCTTGCTCGCTTCATCTGCAGTATTCATCAGAGAAATGCCTTCTTGGCACTCAAACAAATGTCTCCATTACGTAAATGTAAACTGCTGGAGAGGAACTGGAGACGGTAAATAGTGGTATCAAGTGATGGTATTAGAAATTGATTTTGCAGATCGATGGTGTTTTTTTCTCCATTGCTTAAATTAAAAGGTCCACTCTAAACAAATGGCTCTGATGCTAAAGTTATTATGCTATCAACAGATTTGTTTAATGTGGGGCATAGAATCATCAATCATGTTTTAGTAAATTATCTAATGGGGCAGCACATTGTTTAAAGAAGTGGGTTTGGGGTGGTCTAGAGCATTCATTCTCAAACTGTGGTGTACGTTCCACTGGTGGTACGTGGGATTCCTCTTGTAGTATGCTGGGAGTCTCTTATATGGGAGCCTCTGAATTTTGTATTTTCTTAATAGAGATGCACAAATCCCCTACCCCCCACAGACTCTCATCAGCCCCACAATCAGAATGTTTTTATACTTTATTTGCTAGTTGTTTTACACCATAACACCTGGTTTTAAAGAGATTTTGAGAGAAGAATGAGATAAAGACTTTCAAGGCTTTCGCAAACCCGCTGCTCAGTGATGTTCCATCACTGGTTATAATGGCAGCAAGGCCAGTTGAGAAGACCCATGAAAAACTAAAGAGGGACGTAACAGGGACTGGAAGATAAAATGTGAACAGAACAACAGTCTCTAACATTGTGAGAGAGGCAGTTAAAAAGGAGCACGTGTTCTCTTCTAGACCGGGGGCAGCACACAGACAGAAAGGCATTGAACTGATTTGTCAGCATGATTAACATTTAAAAACAATATATTCAGTGTTGGTTGGTCTTATTAGGCCAAACACATACAGTTAATATCTGTGGCTCAGGCCTGGTTTGTCTGTAAAATGCAAACTTAATTAAAAATGACTGTCTTATGAAATGCCAATTCAAATCCATATTTGGACTCTGTTTTGTGCAAAGACAGAGAGGGAGAGCTTCACTTCAGGGATCTAAAAGTTAGGATATTACAAAATGCAATTAAACAAGCCAATTCAATTAAAGGGAGGAGTAAAAAAAAAAGTAATGAATCTTGCACAGTGTGGAATAGGTCACTTATTAATTCTGTGAGATTCTCACAACTCTTTATTTAAATGTTTTTGAGTGCAATTCTCAACATTGCATGATGCTGATGGCGTACAAAAAAAAAGGCACTCTCACAAACTTGCAGGCAGGTGAAAGGTTTATGAAGATGCATCATGACAAACTATAACATGTTTTGGCTCATTTAACTTATAACCCACATAATCTAAATCTAACTATAAATTCACCAACACTAGAAAACTATTTTATATTCAATTCATCATATCGGCTGTCCTACTGCATGCTACCATGCATGTATTAATATTCTGTAGAAAGTCTACTTTAACATTCTAGCGAGGTGCTGTCGTTTGAAGTTTGATGACTTAAGGAGACTTTTATATGTTGATTAAGTATTGAAAAGCTGTTTGTCCACTGTTATAAAAGTGACAGAAAATCCTCTACAAACTGAGTGTAACCTAAGCTTTAAAGACACTTCTGGGGGGGGGGGGACTCTGCAGTTTAGTTTATCTGAAGAAACCTCCTTCAGAAGTGTGTCAGAGGTCTCTCCTGAAGACTAGAGGTATTTCTAGAGGGATCAGTTCTTCTCTAAAGGGGATTACAATACATTCTCCTACACACACAACTCCTATTAATCGCAGTGATATCTTCAGTAAACAGTACTTGGAGGGTTGACACAAAGAAAAAAAAACTGAAGAAAGAGAGGACACAGCTTTTTTCTCAGCTCCTAGAAGTGAATAAAAGAAACCATAAGTGACAGTTTAAATCACTGCGTCTAACTTCTTGACTACAAGGTAGCGTTCACGGCATGAATGAGACATCTGTTTGTGAGATAGCATGATGGGCAGTGTTTCCCACACATAGACAATACATGGGCTGGCCACCCAAGTATATTTCCAACTTGCTTTTATTTAATTTTTCATTTACTGAGAGAGAGAGAGAGAGAGAGAGAGAGAGAGAGAGAGAGAGAGAGAGAGAGAGAGAGACAGAGAGAGAGAGAGAGAGAGAGAGAGAGACACAGAGAGACACAGAGGGTCCACTGTCCCTACACCCCTCTTGTAAATGCAATTAATAATGTTAACGTAAAGCCGCTTGCTGCTGATGCTGGGCTGAACTCCTATAAATAATGGAATTCCTGTTGTTTGTGTCTGTGCGGGTGCGTGGATAAATTGAGCAGATTAAAGTTGTTTGGTGCAAAAACTAAATAAATGTTGAGGCAAAAACACCCTGATATGAATACAAGCTTTATATTAAAATATTTTTGTAAAAGTACAGTATGTCGATCCCTTGCTTTGTAACAGTTCAGATAATATCAGGTCCTCACTAGAGTGTGTGTGTGAGTGTGTGTGTTTTTACCAGGGATGAAGTGGTCAAAGTCGGGGTCTTTGTTGCAGTAGTCCTCGGTACAGCACATGGGGTAAATGCCCTCGTCATGTTTGACAGACGGGGCACAGAAAAAGGGCCGGTCTCGCGGGATCAGCTCAGTCTCCTGTACACATTGGCGCCGCTCGATGGTCAGCCGGCTACCTGACTTGCGGATGGCGACGTAGCAGACGCCATCCGTTGTGCAGCTGGAGTTGGCACTGCAGCGGTCACAGTAACACTGGAGAGCTGGAGGGAGAAAGATGGAGATGTTACAACTGAGGCTTGACTTACACTTTCCACTGTCAATTATGTCTTCATACACTTTCATGTTAAGACCAAACCTTTTCTAAATTACATTTATGTCACTTTCAAATCACTCTTCTGTTTAAAAATCTTACAGTACTTGGATCCTTTTTATTAAGGTCCAACACACCAATCTCTTTCAGGATTCTTAAATCCACTAAAATCCTTACTGTGTGTGTGTGTGTGTGTGTGTGTGTGTGCGTGTGTGTGTGTGTGTGTGTGTGTGTGTGTGTGTGTGTGTGTGTGTGTGTGTGTGTGTGTGTGAGTGTTTGTGTGTGTGAGTGTCTGTGTGTCTGTGTGAGTGTGTGTGTGTGTGTCTGTGTAGTTTAGGTACTTGGGAAGGAGTTTTACCCAGAATATGAGACATTTCATCACTCTTCTCTGCACTAACTGTAACTTACTGACTAATTTTCCTCTGAATGTTTACTTCAGAGGAAAATTTGCTGGCACTATGTGCATATGAGAGAGAGAGACACACACACACACACACAATCACACACATTTGGAGTACAGCTGGAGTAGAAGATTATTTACGTAAGTAATAACAGGCTGCCATCTTTTGTAAAAACCTCTTCAAGAGTAGCTTATCTATTCTAGTAACAGAAAAGAAATTAAAACGGAAAAGATGAGTTATGTGGCAGATAAGGGCCTTCCACTGGAACAGAATATGTCTAAGAGCTAAACATGAGGACAGGGCAACAGCATCCCAGTATCTTACTCTGTCTGGCAGGTACAGAGAGGACCCAGAAGATGTCTATCCAGGGGGGAACGTTTGAGTGAAATACTGAGGACTGTGTTGAAAAAAGATGACCAAACTCAACTAGCTGAAAGCAACAACAGAAATATGAGAGTGGAACAATTTCAACTCTCAGAAAATATCGGTCTGCATGATTAAAGTGAACCACTAGTCAGCTAAGAAAAACCCTCACCCCTTTATGTATGGATTTGCCTTCAGGCTATTTGATGATTTGGAAGAGTTTTAGGCTGAAAGTGTAAACTAGAATTTTTTGTCTGTTTGTTTTTTTGTATTTTATGGAAATCATTCAGAGACATTAAGAGAGTTAGTTTTTATTATGGCTGTATTTCTTTGGTTCTAAAAAAGGTGCAAAGGGCCACAGGTCAGACCATCTCTAATCACCATTTAACACTAGGAAACAGCCAGGCCAGACACTCACAGAGTCAGGCATGTGCTTAATGTAAGAAAGTCTGTTGGAAATCCCTTAGGCTTGAAACCATTAGTAATGGTGTTATGGAGTGCTATGAATAAACCAGGTCACCCTCTCTCTCTTTCTGTCTCGAGTCGCTCCTACGTGTCCTTGCCCCCAACCACCGGGCAGACAGACAGTCGAGAGTCTGGTATCATTATGCAGCTCAGACACACATCATGCACGGCTGGCCAGGTTAAAGCAACACACACCTACTACGACAAGATCTTTGAATAATTAACAGGGCAGGCCACATTCAGGGAAGTTAAGCACTGAGAGTGTCTGACATCGGCACACACAGGCAGATGGTATTAACAGTATGAGAGGTACATCAGTGCAAATCTGCCCTGTGGTGCAACAACTTCACAGTGGTTAGTGGGGATTTAAATACAACAAATCAAGCCAGTACAAGTTGCCAGTATGTTTCTAGGAAAAAATACAGTACCAGTCTGAGAATGTTGTACCTGTATCTGAGTTTTGTTATAACAGGGAAGCTTTATCGCTTCTGGAATTTCAGGAATTGTCTGGAGGTGAATTCCAGACAAAGTCAGGGTGGGGGAAATCATTTCAGTGACAACAACAACAACTGTGTGTGCATCAGGGTGTGTGTGTGTGTGTGTGTGTGTGTGTGTGCGGTGTGGGGGGGGTGGGCAGATCGGACAACAGTAGACAGCTAAATAAGAGCCAGCTGACTCTGGTCCTCTCTGACTAAATCTCTGAACACATGAGTCAGATAAATCTGTCCACTGACACACAACATGTGTGTGTGTGTTGGTCGAAGTACAGCCCAGATGTCTAGACTACAAAACAACTTTAATTTTCCACATGTTAGGTATGCCACAGCGAGGAAACGTAGCACGATTTATAAATTTGTGACAGGGCTGGCAAAATGGAAATGATCTAGTGGATAAGAGCATAATGCTAAAAGAGTGTGTGGCCAGAAAACAATTAGAATTAAAGTAAAGGTAGGGTAGATAGCTTCACCATCCAAAAATGAAATCCTTAACTCTTTGTGACCTTTAGCTTCAGAATTTAAAACCAAATGTTACAGGGACAATCTAAACAACAACAAGAGTGTCATTCTGCCTAACTACTTTTCCATCAGACTCTTTGCTTTCCTTCTCTATGCCAGCCAGACGGTTTTGTTCTTCAGCTATGCATCATCAGCCTGAATCCACCTGAATACAGCACGACTTTGATCTTTCATTTTTAAATCCTCCACCATCGGTTTATCGGCCGTATGTCTGTAATGACTCTAGTTCAGCTTCCATGCTGTTTCTCCTTCCATACCGCAAAATCCGGATACAAGTTGCACTAGTGTATAAGACGCAGTATGTTGTGGGGGTTTCTCAGAAAGAGAAAAGGCTTAAACTGTCCAGCCGCATGATGATTTCTATTGTGTTAAACAAAGTCCAAAACGGTGAGTTTCTGTAGAGCTGTGAAGCTCTTTAAGAACCATCTGTTTCCACTTTGTGGAGTTTGAACTCCTACTAGCTACAGTACGGTAGTTGAGCTCTCAGCCTACGGTGAGAGTTCTCCGCTGCCATTGGTCACTCATGAACTTTTAATCAAAAGATTTATTCACTGAACAATATACCACAGTTTTCTTTAAATGCATGATTATGACCCAATGGGGTAAAAAAGATATGAAAAATAGCGCAGGCATACAGGTTTGCCACTATACAGCCCAGTACAGCTTTGCAATACACAATGAACGGGGATGAATTTTCAATCTCGTCAGGTCCCGTGCATTGGGTACACTCGTGGCAATGACTGCACGTGTCAGCATTTTATACTGGTATATTGGTTGCACCAGTGTATAAGGTGCATCACTCTCTAGGTAGGTATTAAGAGTGCGTTTATATGTTTTGATACTGTTTGGATACCACATGTTTTAAAATGGAACAATCATCTATTCTAATGTTTGCTGGTAAAAAAAATGGTAGGTGTGACCAGCAGTGTAAAAAAAGAGATTTTAGTGGTTATAAAATCACTTTACATGCGCAAGTCTTTTAACCATTTCCCATTTATGGCGGAAACAAAGCTGTCCCACCTCTGCCTCGACATCGGGATAGTAACAGAGGCGTTACAGGGGTAAGACAGGATCACTGTAGGACACCAGAGCCCGATGTGGAGCCCCCGCTAATTGTGTAAACTTCCTGCCTCTGCAACGCCAAAAGGTTGTGTGAATCATTCTGTTACCATTCACAATTGGTTTGAACATTTTAAGGCAACATACACCAAAGTGATAATTATAATACTGTGAGCAGACTTAAAGACTGGTCCTGAATAATACTCGTCCAGCAGATGAATGAATCAGTAGAGGAAGAGAAAAAGCTAACCAGACAAACAAGTCTCTACATGCAGACAGATGAGTCAGCCAAAAGACGTGGAGGAAACAAACAAACACACCTATTACTTCTGTTATTAAGGGCAACAGTGCTGAAAGTAAGAATAGTGCAGGCTTCATCTGAGTGCCACAGCTTGAAGAAAACTTTATTGAAAAGCTGTCACCTACAGTGATTTCAAAATTGCAATGCCAAGCCTTGGTAAACAAACAACTGAAACTCTTTTCTTTTTTGGGAAACAAAATCACAATATTGTGCCCTCAGTCCTGTCCCCCGAGGCTACAGCCTGCTGCTTTCTATTCAGGCGGCACTTTGCCTCTCAGTGACACGGCTCGGTGCAAACGGCCAATTAGCACATGATGCATCTGAAAATAGGTTTTAATAAGAAACAACCTTTTTACTGAGAATTAATGCTCCGAAGACATTATGCTTTAGGATAAAGACACAATAAGCTGTTATAATGGTCTCTATGATTTGTCCTGCCAGGATCTTGGAGATTTAATTCAGTGGTTCCAAACTTTTTTTGCTCGTGACCCCACTTTAACTTCACCAAACTCTGTTGACCCCGTAAATCCTTTTTGCTCAAAATAATTTGTCTTCAATCATGTTTTTTCTACTGCAAGTAAACATTAATTTTAGACTTTTTTACATTTAGGCTTTTTCACAAGGAAGAAAGGCTGGAAGGACATTTTTGCACAATGGATGACAGAGACTCTGCAAGTTACTTGTTTTGGCATTGGCTACAGCCAATATATATTAATCAATAATATCGATCAATAAATAAAAAATTGCAGGTTAATCCATTTGAAATTCCATGCCACCCCATGTGGGGTTGGGACCCCGAGGTTGGGAAAGACTTTAAATTTCTTACTGAAAAGGACCAATTCAAAAGATTGTTGTGGTCCTGACAGCAAAATGTTTTTTCATTGAGAGCTGTGAGTAATCAAAATTGTGTCTGGACAGATATTCCATTTATGATTGCTTAAAAAAAGAATTAAATAAGTAATAAGCACAAACAAGGCAACTTGTTATCTATAAAATGTGTAAGTGTTTGAATGATGGGTTGATACATTTATTAAATTCCTTGTCTTATTATTCCAGCAGACAGCTGTCTTTGTTTTGTCTTTTTCTACTTGTGATAGCCTTCAGTTCTGAAATGTTGGTACGACGAAAAAGGCATTAAAAGAAGTCATCTTCGACTCTTGAACATAATGATGGATGGGCCTTAACCTTAATTTTGTTCTATTATAATAGTTCCAAGTACATTTAAGAGGTGATCCATCTGAGAATTTGTTTGAAGAATGGTTAAAAATTCATCTTCATTGTGTTAAGAGTGGAGATAGGAATAATAAGAATCTTAAACACAAACCAAAAACATGCAAATTCACAG